TGCCATCTCTACGTCAGTGCACTGCGTCTCACTGCTTGTCAGACATGCTTATGTGTACTGTTGAAGAATAGGTTCCCCCAAACAGTGGAGTCTGGAAAGAACCCAGCTGTGACGAAGGTCCCCCGAGCCTCCCAGGGGCCGGCCACGCAGCCGTCACTGCTCTTCCTGGCAAGATAAGAGACTGGTGCCTGCCCGCCACAAGTGGGTACAGGTCCAGTGGCCAGGACCGCAGCCAGGGAGGTGCTCGGCATCCGCAGGGGTGTCCTGTGAGGCCTGGGCACAGGCACGGTCCCCAGGGTCCAGATGACTGCTGTGGCCAAGAGAGAAGGTGGTGGCCTAAGCAGCCTTAGCTGGACAGTATCAGTATGCTCCTGCCCCAGAAAGAAATGGTCTTGAGCTTTTCTCATGCTGCATTACCCTCCAGGGTCTCGGTGAGAGTTCATTCTGCAGAGGGAAGTCTCCTCCCGTGACCAGTGGCCGCCCTGCAGCCAACGCCAAGGGTTCTGGTGAGCCCCAGGAAACAGCGCTCCCATGACAACTTTGGCCTTTCTCTCTGGCTTTGTCTCCCTTGCCTCTGATTTTTCTCCTTCCGCCAGTCATCGTTGTAACTAAACAAAGGAAAAGAATGAGGTTTCATATAGGCTAGCAGTTAAAAATCCATAGTGAGACTATTTCATCAAAACTCCCTGCTCCCCCAGTCAGCGACGGGCCTGTGTCCACCAAGGCACAGATCTGTGCGAAATAGAAATGTGTCTTATGCAACTGCCCTTTGCCGTGGCCCTGGGTGACAAGGTGTTTCCACTGCTGTTTCCCAGCCAAGAGCTGGCTTCTTGTACCAGGAGGATGGCATTTGGGGAGGGACTGTGCCCTCACCTTGTCCAGATCTGATCCGGATGGCATCAGAAGGAAAAGGCTTCCCAGTCAGGATGGTTTACCAAAGGTTTAGACAGAAAACAGAGCTTGCATACTTTTAAAGAGAGAAAACTCAGCATTCAGGGTGGTAAACGCATTTCAAATAATCAGGGCAGCGGTTGCTTCCTGCATAAGTGCCTCTCCACAGCTCTGCACCCCTTGTTCTATTCTCTTTGCATGTCGTCTTTTCACAACCCCAAGTCTGGTTTAAACCTTTGTTATAGCCTTATTTGTTTGGCTATAAATAAAACATGTCTTTTCCATCATCATCGTATCTTTCTAGCTGCTGAACATAAAATAGACTCTAGCTTCCTAAATTGAAATGTCATCTTCCTAATCAGAATTGACTATTGTAAATAACCATCTGGTTGTTGTCTTTTTTTAAGTGTCCTGTTCTCACAAACATACTTTCCGACAGCGTCATCCTTATTTAAAATGGTGAGCTCAAACTAATCACTTCAATTTCAAGTTCTCGAAGAATCTGACAACCAGGCAGTTTTGAAATGGAGATCATATTACTCACCTGCCTCTCAACTGTGCTTGACACTCAGCTGTGCTGTGCCATCAGTACAGCATGCTAAATAGCCACGCACTCTTTAGTTTTGGTCTTTTTCTGCCCCAAGGATTCACATTCCACAAGCACAAAAGATCTCAACTCCAACTTGCTTTCTGAATAAACAATTTCTGTTCTGCTCTGTTCTTTCATCTTCCAGGTTTATACACTGTTGAGAAACAAAAAAGCTACATAGCTTACTTACTCCCACAGTTTAAACATTTTTTACAAAATAAGAATATGAAATAAAACGGTGCCTGACACCGCTGTTTTCTGGATGGCAGTGGAAAAAACAGGGCGTGTTAGGCTTTCCATTGTGTGCAGACTTTCCAAGCGCCTACACTCACATCAGGAAAATATGTCTGTCCCATGTCCTATTCAGTTCTTGACCTTTGACTAATATCCCAACAAAGCCACCATTTATTACTCCTTGATATATTTGTCGTTGTCACCATTCAGCCTCACCACTGACTTTATTTACCAGGTGCCACGAAGGGGTGGGTTCAGCTATGCCATGCCAACCTCCATCCATCTACCACAGCCTAAGCCCGTCAAAGATCACAAGTTGGTGTTTATCAGGAATGGCATTTAGGGGGAAGAAGGACGAAAAGATAAAAGACCTTCGGGAGATTCTTCCCGCACTGATTAGGATCCGAGTTGCTGAAGTCATCCCTAACAGATGCATTCTCTGCTATCTGTCTCCTTGTCACGGTGTTCTCACTGCTGACTCTTTTCCTGATCCATCTCAGATTCTTGAGCTGGCCTAGTACTTACTTTATCCTAAATATCTTTTCTTATAATTGTAACCAACAGCAACCACAGCCTGCCAAACCCCTCCTCCTCCTCCTCCTTCTCCTCCTCTTGTGCCTCCTCCTTTCAACTCAACTCAAAAGGTTCCGGAGAGGAGGACCACATAGATGCTCCCAAGTATAACCCAGAATTGTATCTTTCTGATGTGGGTGAGGAGAGAGGGAGAGAGAGACAGAGACAGAGGGACAGAGAGAGAAGAGGGGCAGAGGGAGAGAGAGGAGGAGAGGGAGAGGGAAGGAAAGCAAACCTTATTTTTTAATTTACTTATTTATGTATTTGTCAGTCGTGGGGTCTGGGCGCTGTCCCTGAGCTCTTTTGCTCAAGGCTAACACTCTACCACTTTGAGCCACAGTGCCACTTCTAATTCTCTGCTGTTTAATGGGAGATAAGAGTCTCACAGGGCTGGGAAGGTGGCTCAGTGGTAGAGCGCTTGCCTTGCATGCATGAGGCCCTGGGTTCAATTCCTCAGCACCACATAAGCAAAAAGAAAAAAGCCTGAAGTGGCGCTGTAGCTCAAGTGGTAGAGCGCTAGCCTTGAGCTGAGCTGAGGGACAGTGCCCAGGCCAGGCCCAGAGTTCAGGCCCCACAACTGGACTCCCCCCCCAAAAAAAAGAGTCTCACAGACTTTTCTGCTTGAGCTGGCTTCAAACCACAATCCTCAGATCTCGATCCCTCACCCACCCACCCCCAGGATTATAGGTGTGAACCACTAGTGCCTGGCTAAGAAAGACCTTTTTGCCTTTTAAATGTGTTTATCTAGCTTTGGGGTTAGGTTATTTTTGAAGTGGTCTTTTTAATTTTGCTCAGAAACAAGAACACCATTTTATTCAAATTCCTTTTCTTTTTTTCCTTTTTCTTTTCTCTTTTTTTGGGTCCAGTCGTGGGGCCAGAACTCTGGGCCTGGGCGCTGTCCCTCAGCTCTTCAGCTCAAGGCTAGTGCTCTACCACTTGAGCCACAGCACCACTTCTGGCTTTTTTCTTTTTTTGCTTATGGGGTGGCTGAGGAATTGAACCCAGGGCCTCATGCATGCAAGGCAAGCGCTCTACCACTGAGCCACCTTCCCAGCCCCTCAAATTCCTTTTCTCTTAGTTGTTTTGTACTATAAATATGGCTTAAACAAAATATATATATAGATATACATTGTATACATTTGTGTATTTTAGCTAATCAACTGCTCTGTAAATCAGACTTTAAGTTGACTTAAATCCAGCTTACTATGTGGTAGCGAGAAGGCCTCTATCATGAAAAAAAATGGTATTATACATAATTTTCCATTCATTTTTAGTAAAAATGAACATACTATACAGTTTCATGGTTCAAAACATATTTCTTTTTGAAAATTATTTGTATCTCTGCCTGCTTTCTCCTCACAAGAGAAATGAAATGGGGTGGCGATTCACCATCTCTGTGTCATCAGAGACAGTGTTGTTTCTCAAAAACGTTTGTGGAAAAATCAAGTGCAAGGACTACTTCTCTGTGCAGTGTTGGATGACAGTCGTCGCGTTTATTCTGGGCTGAACCATTACCCAACCTTTGCGAAATGTCCCAAACAACAGAGAGAGAAACTGAAACCATTTCAGCCTCTCCACGTTTTATATCCAAACCACCTCAACAGCTTAAGGCTATATTTGAAGCACGAGACAAACAAGCCCCCTGCGTGCAGCTCCATCCTGGCTGTCGTGTGCCCACCCGCCCCGTGGCATCCCGGGGGCCCAGCTCGCGCCGCCTCATCCCTCCGGCTCCTCGCAGCCCTGTTTACCTGTCCCACGTCACAAATGAGACAAGCAGCATGGCTATTCTGTAGAGACCCAGCAATGGCTTGCCCATGCTGCAGAGTGGCTGCGATGCCCCTGTGCAGCCTGGACAGCGTGCAGGGCTTCTAGTCGGGATGCCACACCTGGGGTCCACCCTTGCCAGATACCCATGCTCTGATAATTCCACCCGCCACCTCGGGGCCTGGGTGCCATTAGGGCTCTCCATCCATGCGGCCAATGGCTGAGGGGGATTGAGAAGGTCAGGTGCAGGCTCCTGCGGCATCGGAGGACTCCTTTCCTTGGAGAATGTGTGAGGCCGCCACAGTGGCCATGCCAGGCTTGGGTGGCTGGGTCTTAGCTTGAAGATGGAAAAATGAGCAGCGACACAAACTCCAGGGTCCTCCAAAGATCCCGTGGCGGCTCAGGAGTAGCAGCCATGGCAGAGACCGAGGTTCCCACCCACAGACATGCAGCCAGGAGGGAAATCACCACAGTAACCGACTCCTCGTCCCTGGTGCCCACCAGAAAAAGAGTTCACCACTGGTACACAAGTGGCAAATCACAGGGAAGGGCTGAGCTCCTTCGAGTGCTTGGACCCATGGCCTGGCCTGATGATAGGTCACTTCTTCTACACTCTGCTCAACTGTGATGTTGAAAAGCCCCAGCCCAAGAGAATGCTCTGCGCAGTAGTCAGAAGGAAACCCAGAGCCCCAACTGGAGGTGTCTTAGGGACATGATGAACTTCTCTCCTTGTTTCTTCACTTTAGATTCTTTTCATCAGTTCTTCCCTGGGGTCTGGTATTTTTGTAAAGTTATAACCAGTCCTAAATCTCAGCAAGACCCCAGAAAAGCCTTGTCTGTCGGTGTTTCCTACTAAGTGTTCAGACGAGTCGTACCCGGACCAGTGGGTGGGACTAGAGGGGACCCTTGCCCAGAAGTAATGGCCTCTTTGTATGTTTGCCCGAACCAGTGAACTCCGGAGACGGCATTGACTACAGCCAGCAGAAGAGGGAGAACATCGGGGACCTGATCCAGGAGACCCTGGAGGCCTTCGAGCGCTATGGAGGGGAGGATGCTTTCATCAACATCAAATACATGGTGCCCACCTACGAGTCGTGCTTGCTGAACTGACGGCGGCCTAGGCAGGACAAGAGGAAGGCGTCCTCCTGGGCGGCCAGGGTCTGCGTCTGCCACTTTTGGCATCAGATTCCTTGTGACTTCTTACAGCTGGTAAAATAGTGGCTTCTGGGCCATTGGACTGTTAGCCCTATTGAGAGCAAGGCTTTCCAATACATAAATAGTGCCTGTTTCTTAGATTACAATAGTGTACTGTGCTTATTTGTTCTACGAGAAGAATTGCTGCTTTCTATGGCTCGGATGGAGGCAGGAGTCCGAGTTAAACCTTCAGTTGTATGGACAATAAAGCTATAATTTTCATACGCAATTCAGCAATTGCTGTGCTGTGTCTGCCTGCCCTGAGGATGATGTCAGGGGCCGTGAGGGGAGAGTTTGTGCTGACCACTTAATAGGTGTTTGTCATGGAAGAAAGGCATCGGTTCAGGCGCGCCTCTCTAGCAGCTGTGCGGAATAATGTGCTTTGACATTCAATAAAACTGTTGAATCTATATTCCAATTACACCAGGAAATTTTTGCAGCCCATTCTAACCTCAGCTATAAGCATAATTAATGCTGCTGGCTGAGCAGGGGAACTGGGTTCCGGGGCCGGCCTAGCTGGGATGTGGTGGAGGTATGGAGGCTGGGCAGGTGGGGTCCAGGGGCAGGCAGGGGTGAGATCTGAGTTTGCAAACACAGCCTTAGACACAGGCCTCACTTGTGCTTGTCCTGGCACAGAGCGACACAGGACATCTCAGACTCGGCATGCTACTGACAAAACCTTTCCCTGAAGTTTGTGTAGGGCTCCGAGTCACTAGAAAATGGCTGACGGGTATGATGCTCTTTTGAAACCATCAAATGTTTCCCTCTCCCCCCCCCCACCTCCTCCCTCTGGATGGATGTTTCTCACAGCACCATGCAATGAGTCTGATGGCAATAATTCAGACCTTTATTGAGGCTGCAGAAAATAAAAAGACAAAAACCATGTACTTTTTCATTCATTGGAGAAAAAATGTTTTAACTGGCTTAGCGTGAAGCCTGACTGCAGGGCAGTCAGCCTTGGACAGTGGCTGCTCAGGCCTGCCAGACAGAGAGCTTGGGGCGTTTGAAACTCAGCCCAGAAAACTTCATAAAGACAGAACACTGACTCTGCACACCTGAGAAACGCATCAGGGCACAGAATGTATAGTCTGAAGTAGCTCATTTCCGTAGCAAAGTGCAATTTCTGCATAGTGGTGAAGAAAGGAAATGTGTTCCTTCATTCACTGAGCTCTGGCTTCAACCTATTGACACTCGTTATGTAAGGCACAAGTTTCCAAAGGCAAACGCCAATGCTGTAAAGTAGTTCATTATCATTCTCCCCCTTACTGCATATGAAATTTAGCATTTAGATGTTCCCACCTCGTTTTGGTAAGCATTTTTTTAAAAAAAGATAAACAGATGCGTGATCAGGCAGGACAAACAAGCCTTCCTGTATCACAGTTGGAGAAGACAGAGTTGAACAGAGACAGCAGCAGATAAAGGTAGATTTTTCTCCAGCCTGGGGTCCCAATGAATCGGCCCACTGTGCCCCTGGCATTGGTGATGTGTTGGAAGGGAACACCAAAGTCCACAAAAGTACCACATAGAGTGCCGTGGCAGTTTATGCCTGCGAGTGACCCCGACCAGGCTCTGTGAGGAGATCACATAAAGGCAGGCCTGGACGCTTTTCTTTGTCATACTCATGAGAAAGTTGTCTTTCGGAGAACAAGAAGACCCCAGCCAGCCCCCTCTCTCTGACAGGGCAAGTGCAAGTCTTTGAAGGGCTCAGCAGATTCGGCCCCCAGCTTTGATCTTCCAGGGGAAGCAGTATTGCCTGGTGCCAGGGTGGGCTGCTGCCTGTCGCTCAGGGATCTCTGAGAGGCCTGAGTCTAGCTATGTCTCATGAGGCCCATCTGGACCCGGTGAGGTCTCTGACTCCATCACAAATAAGACTTGTGTTTAGAACCCAGGACATGGAGACAAAGACACCAGAACTTTCCTAGCCACCTGGAAGTTCCCCCAAGGCACCACCAAACCCATGACAGGGGCCTGCCTGCCGTGCTTTTGGAGGGACTGCAGGCGGGTTTATGGCCTGCTCGTATCTGAGGAGCAGCAGAAACTGAAATGATTGCCTCTTGAAAATATTAATTCTGAACTGAAAACTTCCCAAACCAGCTTTGATGTCCTCAAGTCTTTCCACAGCTTGCCTGTCTGAGTTGGGAGAAGGTTTGGTGTTGATCAGAACACCTCTGAGAGCTAACTTACAGAAGCCAAGCCTGACTCCTCCTACGGCTGCGTCCGTGTTGACGCTTGCTACACCTCCCTGGGCTCTTCTGGACTCATCATCACTAACCTCTTGAAAGCTGAGAGGCTCCAAATTGGGTCTTCAAGGAGCCATATCCCGGAGACGGCCATGAACCTGCCTAGGTGCACGTGTCCACTCTCCACGGTGGTTGCAGCCGGCTGCTCTGTGAACAGTTTTTTCCAGGAGAGTGATCGCTCACCAAGGCTGGCCCAGAACAGGAACTACAGTTCCAGCAAGCTAAAGTTAGCGCGGACTGAGTTCCCGTCCACACGGGTCCCTGTGTGCCCACACACCACCCGGGTCCAGGAAGGCTCTCTGAACTCTTGTGGCGTCCACATCTGACAGGGAGCCGGGTGGGGAGATGCCCACCCGGTGCCACCGTGCCTGCCCTGGGATCCCACTGGGGGCTTGCTGTGGAGATGCCAAGGGCCAGCTTCCTTCCCAGGTGCATCAGGAGAAGCTCAGCCAGCTTCTTGTTGCTTTCGAGTTAGGCTTTCTGGCAAATCTACAGGCACGAAACACAGTTATCCTTGCTCAGATGGGGAGCCTGAGGCGGGACCCTGTGCTCTGAGTGGGAAAGGCTCTCCGAAGTGAGCCGCCACCCCCACCACTGGATCTTTGCTAACCACAATGGCTTTTTAGTTTGCTTTTGTTTTAGTTTGGAGACAGAGTCGCTTATTTAGGCTGGCCTCAAACTCGGACTCCGGCCTCCACTTCCTGAGTGGTAGGACAGCGCGTGTGTGCCACGGTGGCCGTCCTCAGCACGACAGGATAGAACAGAAGGACCACGAGCACCTTCCTGCCCTGCGCCAGGGAAGGAAGGATGCGAGCAGGCTTGGCTTGACCACGAGCCCTTCCCAGTGAAAAATGACTCTAGAGACACCTCCTTTCATCTTGGGCTCTTAACCGTGTGGATGGAAATGCACAAGTCAGGGATTGTTTGGGACGCTAGTCGGGCCCTCCAGTTCAGGGCTGCTGACGTCAGTGATGAGGAATGAGGCCCCGCATGGTGGTCTGGCCCTCAGGGAGGCCGCATAGTTGTGTTTTGCTCACACACTCTTACTCCACTTTTGATGTAGCTTCGTTCTCATTTGACATAATTAGCCAGTCTCCATAGACAGCTAGTGGTGTGGACGGTACGACAGCAGAAATGCTCTTTACATGTTGGTTTATTTGCACCTCTGTTTCAATGGTTGACTCTTGCTTTCCCCAGTGGAACTAGTTTTTAAGGTATTTGGATTCTCCATTTTTACTTTGCCAACTTTCTGTAAGCTGAAAACTGGGTGAAAGGATTTTTTTCTATTTCTGTGCTTTTGATAAGTGTGAGGATTTATTACTTTAGTTTCTTTCTTACTTAGAAACTATTGAGTAATATCGCTTAGCTTTGCCTTAAGAATTCTTTGGAAGCTATGCACCCTACACCAAGATAAGTGCACACACCACAATACTCTGACAGATGCTCTAATCCTCACCCACCAGCCCCGGTGGGAACCCTTGCCTTTGAAGGAACCCAGTTTACCCACCAAGAGAAGGGACGAGAGGAGCACTGTGTGCTGGCTTCATGACAGAGGCCCAGGCAGACTCGAGGTGATCGGAGGGACAGCCTGTGGCTGGGCGGTTCATGATGCTCAGACGGGCATGCCTTCTGTCTCTTACTGGACTGCTTGGCCTAGCTTCTCAGCCCCAGACCCAGGGCTGGGCCTCATCCTCCTTCTCTCCCCACCACAGCCCTTCCAGGCCCTTGCTTCAGGCTCCAGGGTCCCCAGTAACTTCTTTCTGAATCCCAGGCTGCAGTTGCCTGCTGCCCACCAGACATTTCCACCAGGATGTCTAGGAGCTTTATTAGACCAGATCTGTGGAAACAAAGCCTGACTCACACTACTTGATTTGCAATCCACCACCACCACTACCACCATCACCATTACCATCATCACCACCATCGTCACCACCACCACCATCACCACCACCACAACCCCAAGTTCAAGCCAAAAGCCTGAATCACTCCAGACTCTCCATTTCTTTCATATCCAAACCAAACCCCTGTAAGTCCTACCTGCTAAACCTACAAAATACATTCGTATCAGACCACGCCCCGGCTCCATCTCCCTGCAGGGGTGTCCTTTACATGAAGCCAGTAATGCCTTAAACACAACCCTCAGAGTTCCTCCTGCACCCCAGCAATCAGACAAACTCCATGTCTCTTACTGTGGACCTTGTATGGCCTGAGCCCCAAGGTCTGGCTCCTCTGAGCTGTTCCTTCTCTCCCTGGCTCCCATTCTTAGGAAAGCTTTTCTGAGTCCCTCAGCTTTCACTCTATATCCATGCATTTGCCTTAACTGTATCCAAACATTGACGGTGTCTGCCTGCTGTACCTACTCACTTGCTGATGACCTGAATGCTTAAGTGACTGTGGGCTGACTTGAGGACAGGAGCTTCGCGGTGCACATGGTCAGCCCTCATTAGACGTCTGTTGGATGAATGATCGAGGTCTCTCTCTGTTCAGCCAGTGTTGTCCGGCAGAGCTAGGGCACACTGCTGTATGCCATAGGCCCTGCTTCCTCCAGCCATGGTGAGAGGACTCCCCACGGCTCCGGCTGCCTCAGAGACTGGAGGAAGGGCTACCAGCCCGCTGTGAGGCTCTGCCCAGACGCTCACTCCCAGCTCCTGTCAACCCAGGAGGCCCAGAGGGGTCTCCATTGATCCTCCTTCCAAACCTGGCCACTCCAGCAGGTTCCCATCAAGCCCCAGCACTCATCTGGGAAACTAATTTAATATCAGCTCTAGGAATAATAGAAAAGCTTCAGCTTCTTTCATCAGGAAGATAACTAGATTGTCCTCAGTCTAGAAGGTACAATAGGTGTACCTTAGAAAAATATAGTTTAAACCAATCAGGAAAAAGCCACTTCCACAACTACCATCTGCGCTTCAGCATTATCAAGAAAAAAATTTAAAAAGCTTAGAAGTCTCACTGTTTGGATACGGCATTTCCAAATAGTCACTCTAACAGTGATCTTTATAGTTGAAACTTTTAATAAGATGAGTCTGTTATATTAATACAGAAAAAGAACTTTGTAGTGAATGCTCAAAAGTGCAAAGAATGCAGTTCAGCTGACACGACGTTTGCACGGCTCTGTCCGCCCGTTGCTCTCGCGAGTGCGATGCCGGTGCTGACATTTTCTCCACAGG